AGTAGAATCAGTGTACCAGTAGAACCCAAGTGTCAGTAGAACCAATGTGTCAGTAGAACCAGTGTGCCAGTGAAACCAATGTGTCAGTAGAACCAGTGTGCCAGTAGAACCCAAGTGTCAGTAGAACCGAAGTGCCAGTGGAACCAGTGTGCCAGTAGAACCAATGTGTCAGTAGAACCAGTGTACCAGTAGAACCAAAGTGTCAGTAGAACCAAAGTGTCAGTAGAACCAAAGTGTCAGTAGAACCAGTGTGTCAGTAGAACCAGTGTGTCAGTAGAACCCAAGTGTCAGTAGAACCGAAGTGCCAGTGGAACCAGTGTGCCAGTAGAACCAATGTGTCAGTAGAACCAGTGTACCAGTAGAACCAAAGTGTCAGTAGAACCAAAGTGTCAGTAGAACCAAAGTGTCAGTAGAACCAGTGTGCCACTAGAACCAATGTGTCAGTAGAACCCAAGTATCAGTAGAACCCAAGTGTCAGTAGAACCAATGTGTCAGTAGAACCAAAGTGTCAGTAGAACCAGTGTGCCAGTGAAACCAATGTGTCAGTAGAACAAATGTGTCAGAGGAACCAATGTGTCAGTAGAACCAGTGTGCCAGTAGAACCAGTGTGTCAGTAGAACCAGTGTGTCAGTAGAACCAATGTGTCAGTAGAACCAATGTGTCAGTAGAACCAATGTCAGTAGAACCAGTGTGTCAGTAGAACCAGTGCGTCAGTAGAACCAGTGCGTCAGTAGAACCAGTGTGTCAGTAGAACCAATGTGTCAGTAGAACCAATGTGTCAGTAAAACCAATTTGTTACTGTGACCATTGTAAACTCTTGAATATTTATTTGTAACATATTGCACTACGATGTGAAACATTTTGTTGTATTTCAGGCCAAGTGAACACAAGATTAGACCATTAAACCATAGAGATGTGCTGCCTGAATGTAGACAGATTTATGAGCTACTCCTCACATATCAATTTCATCAGGTGAGTTTATGATGCTATCATCAAACCTTATTCTGTGACAATTACATTACAAAGTAAATCAGCAAAAATCATATTTGTGTTTGCCGTCACCATTGTATTTACAGAGTAAATCAGCTGAAATCATATGTTTGTTTGCTGTCACCATTGTATTACAGAGTAAATCAGCTGAAATCATATGTTTGTTTGCTGTCACCATTGTATTACAGAGTAAATCAGCTGAAATCATATGTTTGTTTGCTGTCACCATTGTATTACAGAATAAATCAGCTGAAATCATATGTTTGTTTGCTGTCACCATTGTATTACAGAGTAAATCAGCTGAAATCATATGTTTGTTTGCTGTCACCATTGTATTACAGAGTAAATCAGCTGAAATCATATGTTTGTTGCTGTCACCATTGTATTACAGAGTAAATCAGCTGAAATCATGTTTGTTTGCTGTCACCATTGTATTACAGAGTAAATCAGCTGAAATCATATGTTTGTTTGCTGTCACCATTGTATTACAGAGTAAATCAGCTGAAATCATATGTTTGTTTGCTGTCACCATTGTATTACAGAGTAAATCAGCTGAAATCATATGTTTGTTTGCTGTCACCATTGTATTACAGAGTAAATCAGCTGAAATCATATGTTTGTTAGCTGTCACCATTGTATTACAGAGTAAATCAGCTGAAATCATATGTTTGTTTGCTGTCACCATTGTATTACAGAGTAAATCTGCTGAAATCATATGTTTGTTTGCTGTCACCATTGTATTACAGAGTAAATCAGCTGAAATCATATGCTTGTTTGCTGTCACCATTGTATTACAGAGTAAATCAGCTGAAATCACACCAAACTGCCCATTACTCAGTGATATGTTATATGAAAATGATTATGAAGGTCAAATATGGTTAATGTTTGATAATAATAAACAGTACATTGGTGCTGGAGATGCCTATCCTAACCAGGTAAGAAATCAGAATCACTATACTCTCACTACTACACCTTCAAATTTAGTTTACATTCAAGTTGTGAACCTTATTAGTTTCAGTCCAAACAGAGGAATTTATAAATTGACCTCTGTGCGTCCATGCAAGCCCACCTGTATCTTAGACATGCCTTGAGCGATCACATTCAAACTTCACACATACATGATGCATCTTCAAAGAATTATGCACATCGATTCGTTTCACATGCCGATTCAAGATGGCTTAATGGTGGCCATTTTGTTTAAACTTGGTATATACATTGGACATAATGAGACCTTGATGCCATATCTCTGATAGGCTTTGACTGAACATATTCAAACTTTATACTAGTATATACAACATGGCACACATATGTACTTGCATTCATGTTATCATCTAGGATGGGCGAATGGCTGCCATTTTCATGTTATCATCTAAGATGGGCGAATGGCAGCCATTTTCATGTTATCATCTTGGATGGGCGAATGGCAGCCATTTTCATGTTATCATCTAAGATGGGCGAATGGCTGCCATTTTCATGTTATCATCTTGGATGGGCGAATGGCAGCCATTTTCATGGTATTGTAAGGTAGGTTCTCTGTTCAGCAAGTTGACAAAAGACACTAGTCCCCAAATTAATTTAGAAACATAGCACAGGGCAACCGATGTGATATTTGGATAACTAAACTAATGCAATGAAGCATCACACACCACAATGATTGATCAAGAACTAAACTAATATGATATATGTCAAAGGTCACTAGCATTTATTCAACCTTGCATGCAAATAGGGAAAATGGATTCCTGTACAGGGTGATACTATGGGGCAACTTCAACATACACTTTAGTTTGCAATAATGCACAATAATAATTAACAACAGTCAACAGTAAACAAGAGTTCACTAAGTATCAGAATATACCAATTATTGACAACAAGAGTTCACTACAATGTCCACGATGTCCTAACAACAGGGCTGTGCTTTGGCGTTGCTTAGGTAATAACGTCACGACTTGTTGTTCAGCAATGTCTACGTTCACGCGCGGTCACACACATAACGGTCACGTACTCATAACAAAGTCAGGCATAGCCTCCGACCTCTAGATTGACTTCGGCGATTAATACACACACGCGGTTGGCGAATATGAACGAGTTGTATTTACTCACGTATTGTAGAGCACAATGTTGATGAAGGGTATATTAAGTTAAATAAAGTCTCAACCATGCGTTCGTTGAAATCTAGATCTAGTAGATTCACAGAGCGTAGATTGTTCATTCAATTTCTTTACGATAGGAGGTTCACACAGTAATGTCACTCATTGACGATATACACAATATACTAGTATATATATGAGGAATACACGATACTGTCACTTGTTGACAACGTACACAGTGCGAGGCATTCACGGTAACGTCACTCGTTGACGATAGTCGCACTAAAACTAAGAGGTATTCACGGTAACGTTACTCATCGATAATCTTCGTGATTAAGAGGTACTCACGGCAATGTCATTCATAGATGATTTCTGGGCGAATGCGAACTTCACATGTAAACAATGCCAGTCCAGCAAAACTGCCACTTCCGGGTTCGCAGACAAGTAGTCTCACAGAAAATTGTTCGATCCAATTCGGAGTGATGCCGTCTCACAGTTCAAGTACCCACAACTTCAATTAAGCAACTTTCCAGTGATGAAAGTGCTCTTTTCAGTCAGCGACTTTCCTTTTCACCCTCCGTGTCCCCTCGTCAGTGAATTCTCCTCTCCCGCATGGTTTTCTTTTTACCTCCTCTGTCAATCCGCGAGCATGTGACCCGTTATCTCAAATTGACTAATAACATGAATGAATCACGTGATAATAAGCAGAATAAACAGATTAATTAGAACAAATAATAGGTCACGCATAAATGTGACAAATAAACACTGGGCATGGCACAATACAATCAGAACTATTTTCTAAGCCGCATCACATGCGCTCCTTGATTGCTAAGTGTAGAACTATTTCATAACGCAACAACTTGTACATATATGTACCATAATAACTCTATTAGACTGATCAGTCATAAAACAACTTATCCACTATGTTTTGCTAGCATAGAAATTACACATGGTTACATTATCATCTAGGATGGGCGAATGGCAGCCATTTTCATGTTGTCATCTAGGATGGGCGAATAGCAGCCATTTTCATGTTATCATCTAGGATGGGCGAATGGCAGCCATTTTCATGTTGTCATCTAAGATGGGTGAATGGCAGCCGTTTTCATGTTATCACCTAGGATGGGCGAATGGCAGCCATTTTCATGTTGTCATCTAAGATGGGTGAATGGCATCCGTTTTCATGTTATTGTCTAGGATGGGCGAATGGTAGCCATTTTCATGTTATCACCTAGGATGGGCGAATGGCAGCCATTTTCATGTTATCATCTAGGATGGGGGAATTGCAGCCATTTTCATGTTATCATCTAGGATGGGAGAATGGCAGCCATTTTCATGTTATCATCTAAGATGGGTGAATGGCAGCCGTTTTCATGTTATTGTCTAGGATGGGAGAATGGCAGCCATTTTCATGTTATCATCTAAGATGGGCGAATGGTAGCCATTTTCATGTTATCATCTAAGATGGGTGAATGGCAGTCGTTTTCATGTTATCATCTAGGATGGGCGAATGGCAGCCATTTTCATGTTATCATCTAAGATGGGCTAATGGCAGCCATTTTCATGTTATCATCTAAGATGGGCGAATGGCAGCCATTTTCATGTTATTGTCTAGGATGGGCGAATGGTAGCCATTTTCATGTTATTGTCTAAGATGGGCTAATGGCAGCCATTTTTATGTTATTGTCTAAGATGGGCGAATGGCAGCCATTTTCATGTTATCATCTAAGATGGGTGAATGGCAGCCGTTTTCATGTTATTGTCTAGGATGGGCAAATGGCAGCCATTTTCATGTTATCATCTAAGATGGGCGAATGGTAGCCATTTTCATGTTATCATCTAAGATGGGTGAATGGCAGTCGTTTTCATGTTATCATCTAGGATGGGCGAATGGCAGCCATTTTCATGTTATCATCTAAGATGGGCTAATGGCAGCCATTTTCATGTTATCATCTAGGATGGGCGAATGGCAGCCATTTTCATGTTATCATCTAAGATGGGCTAATGGCAGCCATTTTCATGTTATCATCTAAGATGGGCGAATGGCAGCCATTTTCATGTTATCATCTAAGATGGGCGAATGGTAGCCATTTTCATGTTATCATCTAAGATGGGTGAATGGCAGTCGTTTTCATGTTATCATCTAGGATGGGCGAATGGCAGCCATTTTCATGTTATCATCTAAGATGGGCTAATGGCAGCCATTTTCATGTTATTATCTAAGATGGGCGAATGGCAGCCATTTTCATGTTATCATCTAGGATGGGCGAATGGCAGCCATTTTCATGTTATCATCTAAGATGGGCGCATGGCAGCCATTTTCATGTTATCATCTAAAATGGACGAATGGCAGACATTTTCATGTTATCATCTAAGATGGGCGAATGGCAGCCATTTTCATGTTATCATCTAAGATGGGCAAATGGCAGCCATTTTCATGTCACAATCCAAGATGGCTGAATGGCAGCCATTTCATGTTATCATCTAAGATGGGCGAATGGCAGCCATTTTCATGTCACAATCTAAGATGGCTGACTGGCAGCTATTTTCATGTTAAAAATGCATCAAAATTACACATTTCTGCTAATCTTGACCATATCTTGGTCATATATGGACAGTTGTTCAAACTTGCTACATAAATTGAACATAATGGGACCATTTTGTCTCTCAGATCAGATTAGAAATAGCCAAATGACAAATTTTGTATTAACACAATGTCATGCTTTGACAGATTGCAATCAAACTTTACAACTACATTGTATATCATGTTACACTTACTAACTTGTATTTGTTTCAAACTCTGATTCAAAATGGCTGACACATTTCATTGTGATGTCATGACACAACTTGTTATTATTAATTCGTCAATCTGAAACCTTATGCATGTAATATACATAGATATTGTTTAAGTTTTTGTTTTTCAACATGGCCAATTGATTGTCATATTGTTTTCAAAAATGCAGTTGATGGATTACCTACAAACTTTATGCATATATATATATATATATATATATATATATATATATATATATACACATCATTCCATAGTACAAGTGTACTTGAATTTCATAGAGGTGACAAAGGCAATCACCTAGATGCTTCCTTTGTTATTCCTATGTGCCTAGTAAATTTTATCAAATTTGACCTTCAAACTAAGTGTCCTCTCAATTTCAAGCCCTGGTGTCCCTGGTAATTAAGCTCAGGCATTCATTTCAAAATCGGATTCATGATATCAGTCAGATGGCCATATTGGCCATATATGCTAAAATTTACCCAAAACAAGTATTTCCATCATTACCAAACTGAATTTGGTTTCACTCAAACATCGATAATGACTTGTGTGACCTTGAATGCACATTTTGCTTTACAGATCTGATTCCAAGTGAATCTATTATTTGTCCAAAAACTAAAAGAATTTCACCCCTATTTGTTTATCAGTTAATGTATGCTTTCATCTGCCCCTGTATCTAAAACATGCCTGGAACATGCATTTATTTTGTGATCCAATTCAAGACGGCCAAATGGCAGCCATTTTAGTGCAAAAAAATCATAAAAATCTAGCATTTCTGTCATTCTGGACTATATTATGTCGTGTATGTGTAGGTTAATTTCAAACATTATAATATATACATTGGACATTATGGAACCTTGATGCACGTCAGATTCAAAATGGCCAATCAGTTGCCATTTAGTTTTAATGAGTGCTGTTAAAGAGATATATCTTCAATATGTCTGGATCCTTCTTCTTCAGCCTTCTAACTTTCTGTATAAGCATAGGCCACAGAGCGTCTCCTTCCACTCTCTTCTGCTCTGGGCTAGTCTGGTGATGGTGTGCCAGTTGTGGCCCATCTTCATTTCCTGTTCCCATGTTCTAAGCCAGGTGTTTCTTGGCCTTCCTCTATTTCTCTTCCCCTGTGGATTCCATTGCAATTCCTTTCTAGTGATGGTTCCTGGTTCTTTCCTTAGTGTATGAGCAATCCAAGTCCATTTTCTTTTCTTCAACTGATTTGTGGTAGGTGTATCTGGTTTGTTTGTTCCCAGAGCTCTTGGTTGCTATTCCGGTTCAGCCACCATATTCCCAGTATTTTTCTTAGGCAACAGTTTATAAAGGCTTGAATTTTCCTGTTGCATTCTGAGATTGTTTTCCATGTCTCTGATCCATACAACAATACTTTTTTTCACATTTGTATTGAAAATCTTTATCTTTCTTTTCGTGGCTATCTCTCTTGACCTCCAAGCTTCCTTGAGCAAATTGAATGCTGTCCTTGCCTTTCCAATCCAGTTTCTAATGTCTTGCTCTGTCCCTCCAGCTGTGTTCACAATGCTGCCTAGATATGTAAATGATGTTACTTCTTCTATCACCCCACTGATAGATACTGTTTGCACTGGTGCTATTTACTTTCATCACCTTTGTCTTGTTTGTATTGATGTGCAGTCCAATTTTTATAACTTCTTCCTCTAAGCTTGATGTTTTCTCCTGCATTTGCTTGTGGGTTGGTGACAGCAATACTAAATCATTGTCAAAATCCAAATCTTCGAGTTGCTCTATATTCCAATCCTCTTCTCTACTGTTATCTGGATCCATCATGTTTAAATTTCACACATGCATTCTGGCACTCTTAATTGACTGAATTTGATTTCTTGATTGCCAAGTTTTAAATCTAAAAATCAAATAAACTTTTTACACATCATTCAGGGTCTGATTCAAAATTGCTGATTGATTTTTATTTTGTTAACCTTATTGCAAGACGGAGACTCATGTTAATCGAAAAACTAACAAGTTATCTGCCAGCCAAGTTTATAACTATTACTTGTCCAGCTTAGAGACTAGCTCCATTTTTTATGTTGTCTGGAAGCACAGAAATGTCCCTTACTTTTTGCGCCATAGTATGAGACTGTACAATCTTGTCCTTCCCGTAAATTGAGTAGTGAACTTTACATCATCTCTGATGGGGGCATGCAGTGAGTGAAACTATGTGAGGTCAGTTTGTTCCTGTTGGTCGAAAGTAATTCGGCTGATTAAACTCTATTTACTATGAGTATGTTCTGCTATCTCCTCAGTGGTAACTCATGTGTTAAGCAAATAAAAATAGGGTTAAAAAAAACAGATGGATTGTGTTGTTTTCAATTACTTGTTGTTGGTCAGATTGCAAAGAATTAGGCATGTTATGTGGCACCGCAGGCCATATGAGTTTTCTGATTAGTTGAGTCTGGAGTGCTTGTGGCTTGGAGGATTGATGGCAGCAACTGTATTCCAGACAACTGTGCCACTGGCATCTCAGCATGTCTATGTGTGTGCTGCCACCCTGGAGAAACTGATATTTGATTTGTTTTGTTTGTTTTCCATCCTTCTGAGTCCCACTTTTGGTCTATCACTATGTGTCTACTGGTAGTTTGGCATACTGTAGTGAAATAGATTTTTACTAAGGACTTGGAATTCAGGTTCTCTTGTGTACTAATGACCACAGTATGTGTTTTCTTTTAACAGTACTCATTGAAGCTAGACAAAGGTGACTACACCATCAGAATGCAGATCAGACATGAGAAGAAGGAAGCTTTAGACAAACTGAAAGATCTACTACTACTTATAGAACAGAAACTATCAAGTACAATCAGTTTAGATGTTTATACTACAATGAATGGAGCTCTGACTGGTAAACACAAATTTGGAACTCAGAAGCTGTGTCCAGGGGCAATGACTGCTTGCTTTATTCCGCCATTATCAGAAGACAAATTACCAAAAGGAGCTCTTTTAGGACAGTACCTTACTGGAACTATTTCATTTTCAAAGTCTGATAAAGCCAAAAAAGCAGTAAGTTTATTTAACTGCCAAGGTAGATGTTAGATTAGGAGAAAAACTAGTAGTAGTGGCATTGAGAGGTAATATTGTACAGCTGTAAGTGGCAGTATAAGAGGTAATATTGTACAGCTGTAAGTGGCAGTATAAGAGGTGATATTGTACAGATGTAATAGATTAGTAGTCGCAGTATGAGATGTGATATTGTACAGTTGTAATAGATTAGTAATGGCAGTATGAGAGGTGATATTGTACAGTTGTAATAGATTAGTAA